CTGTTGACTTGAATCAAGAAGATTCGTAACCGGGGGCGGGATTGGGTATGAGTCCATCTTTTGAGGTTTTGTTTTGAAAGCCCGGAAAAGCTTCTGTTTGAGGATGCTTTGAGTTTATAAACGAACAGAACGTTTGCTTTAACCATCCAGTGAGAGTCAAATGCGGTTACGAATCTTTTCTATGCTCATTTGATTCATTTAATTTGTGAATGATTATTATCTTGATATAAACCGGTGAGCATCACTGCCAAGACGATCACGAAGGCCAACGCTGCAATCAGAACCACTCCAGCCGAAACATCTCGTCTTCCTACAAATAAACCTGTAGGCATCACTGCCAAGACGATCACGAAGGCCAACGCTGCAATCAGAACCACTCCAACCGAAACATCTCGTCTTCCTACAAGCATCAGTCTACACTTCTGTCGTGTTACCCGGAAGCTCAGCTCTAATCCGTCGTCACTGTCCACATCATTCCTCCCGAAAACAATGTTGATCAAATATCCTGCTGATTAGAACAATTACTAGTGACGACAGTCGTCTATCGAAGACATTCTATCAACGGTTACATTATCAACCACTGATAATTGAACATGCATCATCAGAACTAATTGCTGTTCTGCACGAAGCTGCACTGATACCGTTATTGAAATCTTACTCAGTGCCAACACATCAGCGGAGATATCAGCTGTTCACTCGAAATAGGCTCCTACTGCCCGCTTGATTTCCCACTAATGGAGCTCGAGATGACCTATAAAATTGAATTGCTTCATTCAGATCATGGCTGATATACGATCAACCCAAACAGCAAATTATGTTTCCCGAATGTCAATTCCCGTTTCCAATATTCCCATCAACGACTCTTCCCAATGTTCCTGTCATCAGGCTACGATTCCCTCATCATTACGAGGAAGTTCAGAGCAACAACAAAACTTCATCTGATCTCCTCATTGGATCGTAAATCAGATCATCATTACTGGCTATATTAATGCCAAAGATTCAGCAGACGAATAGGCCAAATACGGTCTCATCGTTGTTACATTATTATTATTTCGTCACTCTCAGCGTCTTCGGTCTTCAACTCAGCGAAAAAGTTTCGATCAGAGCATCCAACTGATTCTTCAAATGATAACTGAACTCAACAATTGGTCGACAGGTGGAATGAAACGAGTTTGAAAACGCCAGCAACCGAAATAAGCTGCTAGCAGCCATCGCATCAGTACCCAACGTCAAATAAAACTTGGCAGTGATCGTCTCCCGGAAATCAATTTAAAAAAATGAAAAAAATAAAAAAATAAAAAATAAAAAATAAAAAATAAAAATAAAATAAAACAAAAAATAAAAAAA